GGGGGCTGGATTATGGACTGTCCATTTACAGGGTGGGGGATGCATCAGCTGCTGTGTCCCACCTGTGCTGGAGTGCCACGTCAGAGGGAGGTCGAAGGAGCGCCAAGATAGAGGGAAAAGGGAGAAGCGGCACGTCAGAGGAGGAAGAGAGGATGGATGAGCGCCACGTCAGAGGAGTGAGGGAGGAGGGAGAAGGGAGGAAGGAGGGCGGCGAGGTGATGGAGGGGGCACGAGGAGAGAGGAGCGCCACATCAGAGGAAGGTGGAGGGAGGCGAAGAAAAAGAAGAAGAAAAAGAAGAGAAACAGAAAGAGAAAAAACAGAAGAAAGAAGAAGAAGAAGAATAAACGAAGGAGAAGCTCAGGACTAAATTTTATATCCTGGACCAGTGCGAGCCGTCAATCGTTGGAGATCGACGGCCAAAATCCAAGAACAAAAAACCCCTACAAAACAGGGCGTACTGGACCCCTAAAAAAAATGCGCCGACAGCCAAAATGGAGGTTGGCACGTTCGGAATAGGGTGGCAGCGCGAAAAAAAAATTGGCGGCTTTTTCTGCCTCTGTGCGATAGGCGCCCGGAAGCCTGCTCGGGGGGGTCGCCTGGCCGGGCACCCCGGGGGCCATTCCGGCCACGGTGGGGTACCCCGGGCGCCCGGGGGTGGAAAGTTATTGTGCAAATTTGCAAAACCCTGAGGGCTCGGTCCGTGTTCACAATGTTACTTGAAAGTTGCGACTTTGACTAGGTGATCGATGTTGAATTTGGTCCATTGGATTGTTGATCCGACGGACGCAGCGCCGTCTTTCTTCCTCCCCCTCTCCCCCCYCCCCCCCCCCTCCCCCCCCGGCCGTTTTTCTGGCCTATACTTTGCAGGGGTGAGGGCAACTTTTCAGGAGAGTCGGACATGCACAATTGGACTTCCTAAAAGGACTACGGTCTTCCCCCGAACACAACGCACCCCCATTTTGCCTGTATCGGGCCGGAAACATACCTTGTATACGTTCATTTGCAGGGTGCGTTATGTTCGGGGGAAGACGGTAGTGGTTTAAAAGTTAAAAAACTCTGAAGCTCAGGATAATCTATGTACAAAACTTAAGGAGGATTGTCGAGTAGGTATCGGGGTTTCGGTGGATGAGGGCTCTAAGTAACCAAAGTGCGGATTTGTTGAGTCAGTATTCAATGATTGGGAAAGACTGAAAGTCACTGTGACTGTAAGTGCAAAATTAATCTGGAAAAAAAATCAGAACGTGACTGAAGAGGAGGAGAGGAAGGAAGAAGAGGGGAGGGACAGCAAATCAGGAATTCAAACAAGGGTGAGAACAATAAGAAGATATGACAAAGCACAAAGTTAACTGTGTTTTACGACGAGACGGTCACCTTCAATCTCAGCACCTATGACCTATAAAGGGCAGAAGAAAGTGTTTGCAAAACGGAGGAGAAGGAGGAGGAGGAGGAGGAGGAGGAGGAGAAGGAGGAGAAGGAGGAGGAGGAGAGGAGAAGGGGGAATGAAGTGAGTGGAGCATAAGGGGGGAGAGGAGGTGAGGCCTGTCAGGGAGGGCAAGGGTAGAGGAGGTGAGGAATGGCTTGTAGACATAAGGCTGACAACATAGGTTGAGAAGGAGGCGGGTGTAGTATGTTGGAGTTGAAGGAGGAGGAGGAGGAGAAGGAGGAGGAGGAGGAGGAGGAGGAGGAGTAAGGGCAGGAGGAGGAGCAGGAGGGATCAAAAAGGTCAACTGTAGAGGTGAGGAATGATACGTGAGGCGTAGGGCTGAAAGTGTAGTGTTGAAGAGGAGGTGGGTGAAATATTGTGCCAGAGCAGAAGCAGGAGGAGGAGGAGGAGGAGGAGGAGGGGGGAGGGGAGGGGGAGGAGGAGGAAGAGAGGAGGCAGAGGATGGGAATTGTAGCGGTAAGAAATAATTTACGGGCAACGAAGGGTTTGCCAATGGTTAATGCCTCATGGGTTAGCACTTTTAGACATGGGAAATGACAAAAGGGAAGATGGAGGAGGAGGAGGAGGAGGAGGAGTAGGAATTGACGTGGAACTTACTGATGAGAGAGAAGTTCAGAGAACCAAGCGCAAAGTTCACGGTTCGACCTAGATTTGGAATTGAGACACGAAAAGACGACTAGATTCAGGCCCCAGGTCCGTGATCCGACCCTCAGAATTTATGCACTTCGCTCTCAGACCTGCACTCCTTCCCCAGGTCAGGCCCTGATTGGACCGACGTTTACCCCAAGCCCCCTATTTTGCCCAATGCGCCCCTATGATGGCCCCGATTTGGTTGGCCATATGACTTGTCCCAGGCCGCCATGTGGGCCAAAACTTCTCCCAGCCTCCCAGATGCTGATTTGTCTCAGTTCTTTGAATTCCAAGTTCGTCCCAGACGCGCCCCAGACCTGGGCCCAGTGTGCTATTCCCTTGTGATTTGCACATTGCCAAATTGCAATTTGTCCAAAGCGCAAGCGCATAATCTCTCCGACTCAGTGTTGCTTTTCCCCAGAGAGAGTGTGCAGCTCGACTAAATCACCCCCGATCACGTCCATCCGTTGGTCCGTCTGTCCGTCCTGCTTGCCCGAATGTGCCCTCTGTATGAGCAGTCGCAGCAGGTTCACGGTTCAAAAAGAATGTTCACAAAATGAGTCCGGCATCCATCTTATATTCTCGGACGGTGAAGAAAAGGGGAAAATATCAACCTAATTTAAAACAGGGCAGTTCTCTAGGATCTTACATGTATATATAATATTATATGTACTAAAAGACTACCGTCTTCACCCGAAAATAACGCCCGGGCGTAGTGTACGAATATACGAATATAACACCCGCGGGGTGAAATATGATCCTTACAGCCTTCAGGAGCTGCGCACCTTTTTTTAAGAATCATGATAAATCATTTATTAACGGCCCACAATGCCCCACACCATTTTCCAAGCCACAGAATCGCAGAGCCCCCAAGCCCCCCAATATGAGCAGAGCCCCCAAGCCCCCCAATTTGAGCATGGTACCCCCCGCCACCCCACCCCCCTGGCCCCCAGCCCTAGTCTTCTGCAAAGAGGATTGGATTGAATGCCTGAATCTGGATGTGTTTGGTGGAGAGGTGCAGGAAATCGAGATTGAACTGCTTTTCTGCATCATCACATAAAACATGACCAGATTTATCATGGTTTTTTNTTTTTTAAATTTTTAATCCCATAGCCTACCCAATCACATATGTGTAAGGCAGATTATGAAACTGTATGTTGAAATTTTAACCACATTTTCAGAATCAGATCCTATTATCTCACCCCCAAGGGCGATGTCCCACTGGCAAAGAGGATTGTACTAAGCTCCTGAAAAAATCTGGTCATGTTTTCTGTGCAGATGCAGAAAAGCAGTTCAATCTCGATTTCCTGCACTTTTCCACCAAACACATCTAGATTCTCCCACTAGCAAAGAGGATTGGATTGAATGCCTGAATCTGGACGTGTTTGGTGGAGAGGTGCAGGAAATCGAGATTGAACTGCTTTTCTGCATCTTCACAGAAAACATGACCAGATTTTTAGGAGCTTAGTCCCCCAAAGGGGGGGTTAAGTCCTTCACAAGTTCCGAACCATCCTTTTTTTTAATTTTTTATTTTTACTCTTTAAACCACTAGTACCTCCGAGCCTGTTTTTGCCAACCCTGAATTTCACTGCGCACTGAAAGTCGCCCAGCCTGGGTCCCATTGTGTTTTTTCTTTTATGCTTCTCTTCGGAAATGGGGAAAAAAATAAATAAATAAAAATCAACTACGCTAGGGACGTGAAAGCAGCGGGATGCAGATTCTGGGGTACATGTGAGAGTATGCACCTCCAACGAGCGTTACAGCCCCTCTTTTTTTTTTTCTTTTTTTAATTTGGACCATTTCTCGATTTATGCGTGTGCAGGGGCCATGCTAATCTTCTCTGTATCGTTCCAATTTTAACCGATGTGAAATCAGGGCAGCAGGAACAAACAAAAGAAAAAAAAGAAAAAATTCAGCAACAACTCTTTGGACGTGAAAGCAGCTAGATACAGAATCTGGAGATTCTGTGACAGTATGCCCTCCCAACGGGCATTACAGCCCTGCTGTAATCACAACAGCAGGAAAAAAGGAAAAGAAAAAGAAAAAGAAAACAAAAAAGCAACAACACTTTGGACGTGATAGCAGCTGGATACAGAATCTGGAGTACGAGTGAGAATGCGCCCCCCATTGCAAACAGTCAGCTGCCCGTGGAATGTGCCTTGCCTCTCGTTGGCAGGGCACTAAACGCGGATCACCAAGAAAAGAAAGCAAAACACATACAAAAAAACGAAACTGGCTATGTTTCTGGGTAGATGCGTTCCCTTGAGTACTGATGTGAGCACATCTCCTTCACGGCCTTCCCCGACCCGACGACCTTCCTTTCTTTCTTTTCTTCTCTTTTTTCTTTTGTTTTTTGGTAATGGGAAATACAACCGATGCCAAGCCTCTTGGGTGTGGTCCCACGAGCAAAGAGGATCGGATCGAATGCCTGCATCTGGACGTGTTTAGAGGTGCAGGAAATCGAGATTGAACTGCTTTTCTGCATCTCTGCATAAAACACATCCAGATTCGGGCATTCGATCCGATCCTGTTTGTTAGTGGGACCTCGGCCCTGGTACCTCCGAACTCTTCGGGGAAAACGGGAAAACGTCCACTTTTCCGTAATTTGAACTAATTTCCCAAACTCGGAGGTACTAGTGATTTAATTTTATTTTATTTTTAGGAACTTTCTTTAACTCTTACTTTCTTTAATTCTTACTTTCTTCAATTTTTACTTTCTTTCATTTTTACTTTCTTTAATTTTTACTTTCTTTAATTTTCACTTTCTTTAATTTTCACTTTCTTTAATTTTTACTTTCTTTAATTTTTACTTTCTTTAATTTTTACTTTCTTTAATTTTTTGATTTTTCTTTCTGAGGAACCATCACTATCACTTGGTTGTCCAAAATTATGTTGACATACATACAGCCAGCAATTAAATGGCCTTTCAGAGGGGTTCACATTTTTTTGTTCCTTGGCCAAAGTTGGCCAGGAATAAATGGCCCTTTTAGGGGGTATTAATATGGCCGAAAGCTTTAAATTTTAAATTCAAGGGTCACGGTTGATCATCTATGGCCCTGATCTGCTTCCAAGGCTTTACAAATTTATAACTTTATATATGGTCCACGTTGTCCGAGTCGCGGCAGCCACCAATCTATCTTCCCCCGCCTTTCTTCAACTCGTTCCCCTTCGTATCATCATCAAATGAAACATGGGCAACAGTTACTTAGTTAGGTTCAGGAATAACACAAAACTCTTATAACTAATAACTACATAAACAAAAAGAAGAATATGATGGAAGCTTGTATACGATACAGTACAATCTAGGCCAAGGGAAGTAAGGGCCCCACTTATGTTGCTGCTGCCTTTTTTTTTGTGTGTGTGATCCGATCTTTTGGCTAATCAAGCACGAATCTGGTCAAACTCATTGCTTTTAAGCAAGCACATGCCATAACTGAGCCCTGGCCCTAAGTTGCTGAGTTCATACAATGCCATATGGCTGCACAACTGATGGTCGAGAATAGCGAAGGATGAGAAACGACGCTCACCAGACTCACGGATTCATCATCTGCCTATCTATCTATCTATCTATCTATCTTTCTGTATGCATATATAGATCTATCTATATGCATATATAGATCTATCTACATGCATATATAGATCTATCTACATGCATATATAGTCCTATCTATCTATCTATCTAAGATATCTATCTATCTACGACATCTATCTATCTATCTATCTATCTATCTATCTATATATGCAAAAAAGATAGATAGAGAGATAGATACAGAGAACAATAAATTGATAAGTATACACAAATTCACAATCCCTTCACCTACTCATGCACCCATGCACCCATCCATCAACCCATCCATGCACGTCTCTATCCCGGTGTGCTTATGTCCATCCATCAGTCGATCAGTTTATTTAATCCCTTTGTTGACTCTTGCATTGGCCTGTGAATCCATCCCTACCATTGCGATGACAATTAGATCATCGTACTTTTTGTTTTTTTTTTTAATTATTATTATTATTATTATTTTATTATTATTATTTA